TTCTAGCCACTGCCAGAAGGAGCAGGGTGGGCCGGGGAGATGGCTCAGTGGAATAAGCGCCTCCTTGGCAAGCGCCAGGGCCTGAGTTCAATCTCCGGTTCCGAAAAACAAAAAAAGGAGCAGGGGTAGGATCTCTCACCATTTATTCAGGAACCGCGGACCTCAGGCACTGCTCAGCACTGACTGACATCAGCCTGAATTCCCTTGCTGTTGCTGTTTCTGTATTTTATACACTGTTGCTTCAGGAGCCTGAAAAACTTGCCTATTTCTGAAGCCAGTAAGCCATGAAGTTGGAAGGAGAAACAGCTCAGCGTAACTCCGAAGTCCGTGCCATTTTTATCATACATCATGATATAGCCTGTCTTTGGTACCTCCAACCTGTGCTGCCTCAATGGGACCTAAGAAAATACCTGAAATATGTGTGGCATTTTGGAGAGACTATTTGGTTTGCAGGTCAAATACCTGGGGGAATCAAGTCTTGGCTGTGAAATTTCCTAGCTTTGTGACTTGGGGCAGGGCCTTTTACTGCAAAGGTTGTTTATTTTGAGGTTCTCTGTTTTCTGAGCTGCAAAATGTATATGAACTGTCTAGCGCATTGCAAGTATACAAGGTTCTGATCCCAGTGTGAATTTAAGTCAGTGCGTTGCCTTCTGTAGAATTCGTTACATGTAGGGAGCTTTAATTATCATTTTACTTAAACATATCAGGCATTGATTTGGTGTGAAGAAGTAGAGAAACTTACAGTAACTCAGGGGAAAATCTTTTGCCTCTCAGAAAAAGAAATATCAACAATAAGGGATAGGAGGGATATATTTGAATAGTAAGGAGAGAGTGACCATTCTCATCTGTCTAAAATAAAAAGAGAAAGGAAACCTTTTTCTTTTTTTTTTTTTTTTTTCTTATATGCAAAGGGCAAAGAGAGTTTCTGATAAAAAAACAGTGTCAGAAGTCTTTGGTGCGTGCTTTTGGCATCTGACAGTTTTGCTCCATCTCTGTGTCCATATATAGCCTTGGGTTTAGAGTATTCAGCAGAGTGGAGATTCATGTTCAGCCTCAGATTCTTCATCTGACTTACAACCTGACTTTGGTCAGTTGAGTTCTCGCTTTTCACAGAAGGAAGAAAATATTCCTTATGTGGAAAAGGAAATAATATTATAATAAGTAAAGCCCATAAAGCACATTAACTTTGGGAATGAAATGTGCTATGAAATATTTGTGAATTTTCTCCATGCTTGTGGCAGTTTCGCCAATAGTGTTACTCCTAAAGATCCTGAGAGCTGTAATTATTTAAAATTAAAAAGCTAATAAATGAAATAACTATTAAAGTACTGCTAGCCTGAATATATATATTAAAAAAAAGCTCATTAAAATGTAAAATTAGATTAAGCCTTTGCTCCATCTTCATGGATACATCCAGGGGTGTTAGACATAGCTTGCAGTTTCTACTTTTGTGAATAACAGAAGGCTTAGAAATGTAAGAGGAGCCGAGCTAGAGTCCCTGCAGAAGCCGGGGTCTGGCTCTGTCCATAGGACAGGTATCTGTGACACACTGGTGGGACTTCAGCCACACAGGTATGGAAGAGCCAGTAGGAATTCAGGGGGGCCATCCAAAAGGAGTAGATTACTAAGAGTTGCTTTTCAGTCATGTAACTCACTGTTAAAGAGGAGCATGCATTCAAGTGCTGTGCTAGTTGAGCGTGCACTGGAGTTCCTAACACATTCATGGCAGTGCAATGTCAAGAGCAAGGAAAGAGGCAGGTTTTTCTTACGCTTTTCTACCAAAAAGCTCTGGTTGAGTTGCTCTTTGTTGTACTGTCCTGCAGCTGAAGGTGGTTTTTGCCCTGGAGGTAGGTGCTAAATAGGTAGAATTGGTCAACTTCATGGAAGTACAGAGAAGGCTAAGCCAGAGTCCTTCAATGCTGGAGCAGAACCGGGCTGTGCAGGCAAGAAGCCCCAATTCCCAGAAGCTCCATGATCTAAAACATCTGTTTCTGCATTTGGCAAAATTCCACTTTTTTTTTTTTATTTGTAAAATCGTTCCCATCTTTGAAAACACTTTAAAAAATAAAGAAGTCCCCATTCTGTCTCCTTTTCCCACCCCCCAACACATGCATTTGTAATTACCTGGTTTAGTCTGTGTGTTTAATCAGTTTAAATAGAGAGCGCTGTGTACATCTGATTTCAATCTGAAGGAGCCGTTGAGTATTGGGCAGTTACCACCCTTGTGTCTGCCAAAATGTGCCTCTGCCAAAAAACGGATAGGACTCACACCCGAGGGTATTTCCTAAAGAAGCCACTTGACTCAGATTAGATGTTTAATTTCCTTAAAATATTGTTTTGGATTTGGGTCTCTGTTCTCTAATTGGGATTTTCTGATGTAATTTAGGAATATCGCTTATTTGCTAAGTTGGTTCCTGGATCCAGCTGGCAGTCTTCTAAAAGCTAAGCCTGGCGGAAGTAACCTCGCTCCAAGTCCTGAGTATCATACCTCACTCCTTGGAAGGGTGGGTCAGGCCCGCGCTTGTTCATGTCTTCATGGGACTGTCATCCATGCAGTGCAGTGGAATTAATTGTGAAGGAGGAGGGCATTAATTTGGAGGAGGGGTACTGGTAATGAAGCCTTTGATTAGAGGGTCACCTCTTTTGAGATATTTGCCTAATAGAAAATACTTCACTCTAAGTTCTAGTACTGATTGTTTTAGGATTTTTTTTTTTTTTAAACTGTCATAGCAGCCAAGTTGGATCTAGATCTCTTTAGCTAACTTCACCTAAAATGCCTCCTATTGGCCAGAGCTTGAGAGTTTAGTTTTTTTTTTTGTTTTGTTTTGTTTTATCCCTGGATCATAATTTTTGAATAGGAAAGAAGAATATAGAGTTATTTCTAAAAGTCTTTTTTTTTTTTTTTTATTTTAGGGAAAGGTCTAAAATACAGGGTGTTTAGGGTCTCAGTACTAGATCGGACAGACTCATAGTGATCTACCTGTCTGCAGCCTCCTAAGAGGTGGCCCAGTCTCCATTGCAGTCTCAGCATGCCTCATGCTGTACCAGCACCGCAGGCCTGGGAATCAAACCCCTGACCCCTACAGGTGCTTTAATCCGGTGAGCTATTTGAACAGTCCTTCTAAAAGTTTTAAATGAGAGTTCTTAGTCTTTTAGTATTTGAAAGCCTCCTACAGCATTTTTATTTACTGTAGTATGACCACTAACAAGTCACTCATTTTGAGGTTTCTGTGTTGGGGTGATGGACTAGCCTTCCGCATGAACCCGTCTTGGGCTGTATAACCAGGGTGCTAAAAATGAAACAGAGGTAGGGGACACAGTGAGGCTACTTAGTAGTTATGTATGACGGACTTTAAAAACATTGATTTTAGGCCAGCGAGATACCTCAGTGGGCTAAGTGCCTGCTTAGGCAAGCGCAGCGACCAGGGTTCAATCCCCTGTACCACGTGCCATGCCGACCCCAACCTGAGTGCACTGAGCAGGCCGCCAAGTCTGGGTATGGCAGTGCACATCTGTAATCCCAGTACCTGATCTGATTTATTCATTTCAGAACTGGAGAGGCAGAAAACAGGAGGATTGATTCAGAACTGCCTGGTGAGACCCTGTACCAAATACATTAAAAAAAAATTTGATTTTAATTGTGATACAGCCATACACTGTCAGCTGCTTGGGAGTACCAGATTGCAGTGGGGAATTTGTTTTGCAAGGAAATAGTCAAAACTGATGAAGATGAAAAATAAGAAAGCATGGCACAGAGCTAAGATCACTCGAGGTAGCGTTTCACAGTGAAATTGGATTCACCCTAGGAACTAGGAACATTTAACCATGTAAAAGAACATTTAAAGTCAGCTTTCTGTGGTTTAGTCTCCTCCTGGAAGGACCCCTGAGGGTATTGTCACAATTAAACTTCTCCCGGGTGCTCTATCCCACACAGGTGTTCTGTCTCTACTCTGATTCATGAGGTGTTTATTTTAAAGCTTAAGCCTCAGAGGCAGCTCTATTTCTGCTTCTTTCCATCTTGCAAGATGCCACCTAGGAGAGGCAGCCGGCCTGTGAGGGTGTGTACTCAGTCTCCTGCCTCCCCCAGGCGCCTGCATTCCCCCTGCTCTGCTAACTTTGCTGGACTGCAAGGGAGCGACATGGGCTCCTTTGTCGTGGGCTACACAGCTGTGCATGCTGAGAGCAAAGCACAAGTAGGGAGCGTGGTGGGGCCAAAGGCCCGCACACAGTCATTGTGTACTCAGGTTTATAGTTTATCAGTTTTCAGAGCCTAACTAGGCATCATCTGATTTATTCATTTCACAACTACAGAATGTATGGAACACCTACTGTCTGCCTGGCACCGGAAGCTTAAAATACACCACCATAAAATAAACCAAGGCGCCTGCCCTCCAGGTTACTGAGGTGAAGAGGACTGTTTTAAGCCTGTCTTGGTGTCTGGTTGTGGGACACACTGAATCAGTGCAGAACGAAGGATGGAATGCTCCAGGAGCTTAGCAGTGCCCTACCTCTACCTGCCTAGCCTCCCTCAGGTGGAGCAGGGAATAAAGTGTCTCAGCTGCTTCATTGTATTTCTTCAATTTTAATGCAACACTTGGCAGTCCCTTTCTGATGTATGTTACAAGGAAGAAGCTTCTGACCATTGTGATGCTGACATTAGAAAGGGGAAATATTGGGGCCTAGTGAGTGACTGCTACTTAGTAAAAGTGAATGGAGAATTCAGATACAAAGGTGGCCAAAACTAAAAAGAAAGGCTTTTAGAGTAAAACTTGAAAGGGTCTGTACCTACTTTGTTCAGTGCCCTAACAGGGGAGAAACTGGGATGGTAATTAGCTCCAGACTCTGCATCTTACATCTGCACTATGTATATCTGTGCGCATGCACCTGGTGATGCATTCTGACCACTAGTTCTTGACTATAAGGAGACAGTACCACCTGACCTGTTTATCAGACGTCTGCCTTGACAGTGTGTTCACCTGGGATCTCTTTCTCTCCTTCAG